TAATAAAAAGAAAGAACGAATGAGAGGAATTAAGTCGGGAACGCTTACGCGGTACGACTGGCGCAGCGAGGCCTCGATGATGTACTCATCCCCCAGAGCATGAGTCGCCGCCACGTCCTTAGGCAGAAGGACGTTAGCACACCACTTGCGGACGGAGGAGGCGCCCATCCAGATCTGGGCATCCTCTTCTACCTCGTGGCACAGCCGGATCCTTTTCGGAGTCGGCTCATCTGTTTGACTGGCCGGACGCATAGAGCTTGGACTCTTTGTCTGAGGAGAAGGCGGCTGTCGAGTGGGCGACACAACTGGCGACGGAGTCAAATCCACCACATTACGAGGTGGTGGGGGAGTCGACCTTGGAGCCGGTGACGGTTGGGAGGAAGAGGCGGCAGCAGTGCCGGAAGTGCGCTGGGTAAGCCGACGCCTCATCTTTTCGGCTCTATCCGTCATCTCTGGAGTCGGTTCAGCGGCCTCGTCGGAACTGGAGGAGTCGGAGTCGTACGGACCTGCGAAAGGAAGAAAAGTCATAAGTATTCCGAGTCGGAATGTGACAGAATAAAAAGAAGAGGAACGAGAGGCAACGAAAACTACCTACGGTGGCCGCACCCTCCGGCAGCAAGCCACGCTTAGCCATGGCTCGGACCCAGGACCAGTACTTGACGGAGTACGGCCCAATGCCCCTCAAGAACTCGCCGCCCAGGACCGCATCATTGGTAGGGACGGCACGCCGAGAGCAAGGCTTGAATAGAGCGGCCGGCCACAAGGTCGGAAAGGTGAAGGAAGAGAAAGCAGGCCGGACAAAGAAATAGAGGAGCTTCCAGTCCTTAATGGAGTCGGACAACCCCTCGAAAAGCTGTCGCCCCGGGCGAGTGGCAACTTGAACAAAGCCCGGCGTAAATTTGCCGGCCTTCCGGGGCGAGGACTACGGCTGAAGGCCCAATAAGGTATTGGGCCATTTCCAGGTCCGCCGCATTAACGACGGACGATGGCCCGGAAGGGCGGACGATTGAATCGAACTTGCCTCGCGGCCGTCCGATGCCGCCCGGCAGAGCCGCCACCGTCGTTAAAGGAGCAGGGCTCATCGGAGTAACCGCCCCCGAAGAAGAGGGGGTCGGAGGAAGAGAAGACGTCGATGGAACGTCCGCCGGAAGTTCCATACGACGGGGAGGAGAAGAAGAAGACGAAGAAGGAGAAGAAGAAGAGGGGGAAGTCGCCACCGGGTTATCGACCGAGTAACGACGGGAAGAAGAAGACATTACCTAAGTTAGGTGAGAGATCGGAGGAAATGCAGAGTGGCCGGAGAAGCCCGAGTTGAGGTTGAAAGGAAAAACTGGAGAAGAGAATAGAAAGAGAGACGAAGTGGCTATTTAAAGGGGGAGGAATTCCAAAGGACGGCCACGTGTCACCTTCTCGTTGGAGGAAGTGGAGGTGACGGGGGATGTGAAGAGACACCGCATTTAATGCCTCAAAAGGCGGAGCGACGGTTCAGGCCTAGGGTTAGCTTGCAGACGGCGCGTCTGCCCTAGGCTAGGGTCGGACGTCAGTGACCCGGCCTGCTAAGCCGGAAGCCCATCATAGGTCATGGCCTCTGGGCTCACGAGGTACGAGCTAGAAACTTCTAGAACGACCCGGTAGAACCCGGCCCATCAGGTGATATCAGCCAAGTTCACGAAGAGACTCCGGTCGCCAGGTCGGCAAGCAGACTTGGCGACTCCCTCGCCAAGAGGGTCTCGCCGTAGCAAGACGGGGAATCGGTCCCGTGGATCAGAGGTCGGGCGACAAATAATAAGAAAAAGTAGGGTCGGACACAAAAGCACACAGTTTATTTAATAAGTACGAAGATTACAAGGCCCAGAACTCGGCCGATGCAAGTTACAAGAGGAAAACGGGTCAAGGCTTGGCTTCTTTCTCTGTCGACAGGCGAGCAGTCGGAGGGCCTTCCAGGAGGTACTGAGAGCGGAAAGGCAGAGGACTCGGCTCACGCTCAGGCATTTCATCCAGATACACGGCTGGCTTCCCGTCATCGATCATTTGCAAGGGCCTCTCCAGAGCGCTCGGCGACATGGCAACACCAAAGAGAGGAAGAGCCTCCCACTTCTCTTCCACCATCGGTTCTGGATCTTCCACCACAGGCTCCATCTCCACATCGACAGGCTCCCTACACATCAGGTCCAGCATGTCTGGAGGCACCACAATGGGGTCTGAAGCCGAGTCGCCCACCAAACGACCTCCATTAGCCAGCCTCTTCTGCCTCAACTGCTCCAGTCGAGCATGTTCCTTGTTGCGAATGGACCAGCGACGATCACCATCCCTGTAACTCATAGCGCCGTGCTTTCGCAAAATGAAGAGTGTTGCGATTTGCATCAACTGAGAAGAGTCTTTATATAGCCTAGTGAAGGCGAATATCTAGGCGATAATCACGGAGGAAATTATAACTGACATAACTGAGCCGGATTAGACGGATGACGCGAATCTCTGTCAGAGATTAGTTCCATCAAATCCGCCCGGGAAGAGCAAGATTTGCACGTCAACACAGAGAAGATTGGATTCACCCGAGATACGGGGAATCTTTCAGGTGTCAGACTGAAAAGAGCCTGGTGATGTGACCGACTCCTTGACCAGTCGTCCAGATGAGTACGCAACAAAACACGATGAAACATAAGGCATGGCGAAAATAGCATTTCTTATTATTATAAAAAAGGAGGGTACAAGTAGCAAGGAGCTTATTACAATAAGGAATATGAAAATGCTCTTAAAAAAGATTCCTCCGAACTATGGCCGACTCCGGTACATATGATCACTCGCCGGGCGAGGAAGAGTCGCCCCCAAAGAATCCCCCCCGTGGTCCAGGTGGGGATGGACAGAACGAGTCCCAGAAAGCTGGCATGAGTGGTGGCGCAATTGGCTCCTCATCATCCGGATACGCCTCCAGGTAGCGGGCATAATCCTCATCATTCATTAGGCCCGTAACTGGCCTATCCAGGTCGTCCAGCGGGATTGAGAAGGTCATTCTGAAAGTAAGTTGCTCTGGAACCGCCACCTCAACGAAGGACCCGTCTTGAGAAGTCACTCGGGCAGTTGTGCGAGTAGGCGGATGGCGTGAAGATGGAGCGACCTCACGTCGAGGAGGAGTCGGCGGCTGAGAAGCTGAAGGAATAGCGGCGGCAGGAGACCTCTGAGAAGCCGGGCGAGGAGTCTTCTTTTTGTGTTCCCTTTCAGGCCGAGTCCGCTTGGAAGGCAGCGGACGCCAAGGGGACCCAAAGTCAATTCGTTTTCCTTTCAGAGGAGAACGACCCATGATGGACTTGTGAAAGAAAGAAAGAAGGGAGGAGGTCATTTATAGGTGCCAAGTCTAGACAGAAGAATCCAAACGGCCCCGTGAGATCCGGAGACAATGGTTGATGATCCGGACATTACAAAAGGCTATTCAGGGCATGGATACGGTGATTGAAGGAGATGGACAGTTGCTACTTTTCCAAACCCAGGCTAGCGTACCGGGTATGAAAATGTGAGGGACTAGTTGATGGGGTAAGGACCCCGACCCAAGAGATAGGGGCCCAAAGAAAATGGTTCGAGACAGGAGAAGTAGGCCAGCGTTCGAGGAGCCCGAAGAGCAATTGCCCCGAGTCCTGGACTCGGCCCAGGCCCAAGCCCAAGAAAAGACTCGGTTCAAGGAGCCGTTGAGAGCATTGAAGAGGCTCGTTTAAAAGGGAGCCGTTAGGGCATTGAAAGCAGGACTCGGTCAGGCTGTTACAAGCCTGGAAGAGCCGTTGGTCAACCGAGTAATGGCGTCCAACGACTCCATATCTTGATTAGTCTTGAAGTCGGCCATTAAGGGCCTTCAAGTCGGTAGAGGAGGAGCCGCTATTTAAAGGCTCCTCCACTCTTGTAAAAGGACAGACGATTGAATACCCGGAGGGGGGAGAATACCAAAGAGATTCCGAGCACTAGCATTATTTCCAATATAGGCATACATTTTTATTGAAAGGTGTATCCTCCAGCCGAAGGTTGTGTTGGACCTCCTTAAGCCTGAAAACCCAAAAACCATCAATACTAATACAAGATTGTTAGGGTACCTAAACCTAATATAAATGATTCAACTAAAATATTTAGTGAGTACCTAAAACTTAGCTTGTAATATAGTGGAGATTAAGCTAAAAAGACCAAAATATTTTACATAGTAATGTAAGTAATTTTTTTTTAAACATTTGGTCAATTCATACTAACTAATAATAAATAAATAGAAGTTTTATTGTCATGGTAAAAAAGATTTGGTTCTCGGAACTTTATTCAATATAGTGATGTGTGTGAGATTCTTTATTAGATTAGAGGTGTTGATATCCACCCACATAATTTCCAATCATTATTGTATGGACCATGGTCCACACAACTTGTGTGGACCATATTTTATCTGCTGTAAAATAATGCACATTTAGTACAAAAATAATGTACATTCAGTACAAAAATAATATACATTATATTCAGGGGATGTACATTATTTTTGTTCTGAGTGTACATTATACTGTATAATGTACATTCAGTACAAAAATAATCCACATTTAGTATATTAAAAATGTACATTTTATTATGGTCCACATAACATTGTGTGGACCATGGTCCATACAATAATTTGCCCATAATTTCTATACTGTAGATTTATAATTTCTAAATTTTGGTGAGCTAAAATTTGTACTTTAGATTCATAATTTTTAAAATCGTAGGATCCATAATTTCTATACAATAGATGCATAATTTCTATACTCCACTGATTTGTAAAAACACAGTTCAACAATTGGAATCTAAAGTATAAATTTTAGCTCACCGAGACTCTAAAAATTATGGACTATAGTATAGAAATTATGGATCTACAGTATAAAAATTATGGATATAGATTCGTGCGCACCATGTACATGGTGGGCACGTGCTCAGAGCATAATTTGCCCATAAATGTACATTTAAAATTAGCTAAGTAAGTTGCTCCTTGTTTGGTATCCAAACAGCTCAACTACCAATTCCAAAAAAGATGAGACAGAGAGGGCCAAACCTAGATGCAAAGATAAGCGAATTCCAGCAAGAACTAGTACAGCTCTCCGCCGTCCTCAACGGAGACTATCTCCTAACAAGTTATCCGGAGAACATAGGCAAAGGAATGACGGTAAGACAAGGCAAAATCTACATTGAATCTGCCGTTAAACGCTTCTTCGAGGCTGGCCTCGCGGCAAAGAAAATGGGAGTCGACGGTGACCAAATCGTCCAAATGCGACCCTCTCTCACCACAAGATCCTCAAAGCCTTCGTCCTCGCAATATCATCCTTAGCTCCATCAAACGTGTCAACTCTCATCTCATCATATCCTAATAACATATATATTATAGATTATTTCTGTGTAGTGTTTTATGAACTCGTGCCATATTTTGAAATAGAAAATTTTTGGCTTAGAATGATATGGTGGACCTCTCAGATTTTTTTTTTTTTAATTTTTTATTTGGCAAGAATGATGAAAGGTACAACTACATTCAAGCATGATTGTTTTTCTATTTGGGAGTAAGATACGATGGCATAAAACACCGTGGAGATCAGATTCCCCTAACCTATATGTATGTATGAATCTTCCCCGATTATATTGCTACTTTGCAATCCTGGAATGGAATGAGTGGAATCGAAAATCTAATATTTTAGTATGGTTCTTCCAGTATAGTTTAAAAATTGATGATTAATCAGAGTCTAGGTAGCATGGAATCGTGAAATATGAAATGCAAAACAGGACATGAGGCACTAAGACACGGTAATTTTAAAAATTACGTAGTATATAACACGGAAAGGAATATATTTATAAATATTATTGTAAAAAGTGTATAAATAATAATAATTGTTTATTACGCGAATGCACAGAGTCTAGAGTGCGTGCACTTAGCCCAACATGACTTACACGGCAAATTATATCGTGCACCGCGGTGCATAATCGATTATGCACCGCGCATTAAAACGACGTCGTTTTGTTAAATGAAAATAAACGGCATTCGTTTTTCGCCGTTCTGCACCCTTCCGCAAAAAGTAACTCTGTTATTCAGTTTCATTTTGTATATACTACAGTTTCAATTCAACACAACTATAGTTTCATTTTGATATAACTACAGTTTCATTCGATATTTATAGACTCAAATATGTGAAAATGTTATTTAATTTTATTTTATATACACTATAGTTTTATTAAAACACAACTACATGATCATTTTGATATAATTACAGTTTCATTATACAATATACACTCAAATATGTGAAATGTTATTCAGTTTCATTTTATACACACTGCAGTTTCATTTCATCACAACTACAGTATCATTTTGATATAACTGCAGTGTCGATTTAGATATACTGTTGTGTCAGTTGATGTTTAATACACCAAACAAGCGGACTCTGTTAACGGTAACAGTAGACCGTTTCTTTACTTAAAGAAACGGCGTCATTTTTTACCGCGTCTATGATATAACGACTGGACTTACACTAGTGCACACAATTTAGTATGTGTGCATTCGTAAAGTAGACTATGTGCATTCGCATTGTTTCACAATCTCATGGGAAGATATTGTCTCATATGAACATAAGCATATGCATACATATATATATATATATATATATATATATATATATATATATATATATATATATATATATATATATATATATATATATATATATATATATATATGAGCGCATTCAGGTGAGAACGGTGCGTCCATGAGAGAACTCACAACGCATGACAATCGACCACGTGTCCAAATCTAATGGATGAGAAACATTGATTTTTTTTTTTTTTTAAATATGGTGGCATTTTTGTAAATAATTGAACATCGAAGTGCAAGTAAAATGTATTACAAGTACAAGTAAAATTATTACAAGTGCAAGTAGCAGTTTCATATAGTGCACCGAAGTGCAAGTAAAATGTATTACAGTTGTAAGTAAATTTACACTTAGCATCAATACTAAGTGCACCTAACGCTATGGGCATGTTTGGTTAGGAGCTGATCCGCTGATTTTTAGCAAATTTTTGACCATCTTTAGCGGTTTGACTTAAGAAGATGTTTGGTTAATAATTTTTTCACTTAGTGAATCGCCATCCGAACCCTCCAAATTTGACACGCTACTAAGAGCAGCGTTTAAGCATAGCGTTTCACTTTTTTTTATTTTCAAAGTTCTAATTTGCCCTTATTTCTCTCATCACATCTCCTTATCTCAAGCTGGCTCATTCTCGGATCTGCTTCTCTCCATCGCAAATCTGCTTCGCTCCATCTCAAATCTGCTTCTCTCAATCTCATATTACTCCCACGCCACAAACTACTCACATGCTACTCATCATACCTCTATCTCCGGCAAGCTTTCCGGCAAAGGTTGGTGGATTGTATATTCAACCTAGGGTTTTTGTGAGTTACACATCCCTTGTTTTCTGAGGTGCGATTTTTGATTTTTTTTTTCAGGTGTTTTCCTACATGAATATGAAAATTTTGTGCTTTGAATCCTGTGACTTTGTTATATATTTACGGTGCTTTGAGATTCACTAGTATATTCGTTTGTTGACATTTTTATGCTTTGAATCCTGCGACTTTGTTGTATACTCATTTGTAAATTCCTAAGTGATTTCCACCACCGAAGGATACAAAAGAATGAAAACAGAAATGCAGCCTACCTTCTTCATCTATAGACTGGTTTGTTTCTGGTGAAAACCAGTCTGCTCCAGTCAACCAGACCGGGTGTTATGTGTTTGTATTGAGTTTAACTAGGCACTCTTAATCCATTTTATACCTACTGTTAGTTTAAGTTGATAAGAAGGAAAAAAAAAACGAAACAAATTAATGAATAGGGGAGAGATTACAAAATTGAAAACTCTCACAGAATTGAAAACTCCCAATACTTTGGTAAATATAATGGAGTTAGCAATGGATGCTCTTTGTGGCATCTGAATTCTCTGTGCATCTGAGTTGAAGGTATACTTGATATTTGAGTCACAATCAAAACTCCAATATGAAGAGAAATCAAATGTTCTTATTCTGCAATGATAATAACCATACAAGGAGTACATTTCCTTAAATACTTTTTAGTCAGTGGCTCATTCCCTAATTTTAGCTTAAAATATGGTATTTATCAAATTAGGTGCAGCGCAGAGAGCATTTCTTGTTTTAACATGATGAAGAAATAAAAGAATACATTGATGAATGGTAAAAATTGCAGGGAGATGATCTATGCCCATGGTTGCAGTAGGCGCTGGGCGCTAGTCGGACGCCCGGACAGCGCCTAGCGCCTAGGCGGTGTAGGTGGAATCTAGGCGGGCGCCAAAAAAATAGTGGTAGACATGCAGTTTGACAATTTTGATGAGGTTGTTTTCAACATTTAATCAAATAACACATCCAAATAAATGAATTAATGATAATTCATAAGTTATAACATCAAAACAATGGTTTTCAAAAAAAAATATTAAAACAATATTAAAAATTGAAAATATTCAAATATGAAATACTCAAATACTTCAATCATCCAAAGATTCAAAGTATCAAACTAGTCTACGAGTGTATATATGTCATATTATATATATGTATGCGCGCGCGCACACACACACATATATATATAATAAAAAAATAGGCCAAGCCGATCGTGTTAACTCGACCGAAATGGACAAGTTAACTCGACTAACATAGATGCTAGGCGGCCAAATCGGCCGAGTTAGGCGCTAGGCGGACGCTTAGGCGGACGGTAACCTACGCGGGCTCCTAGGGGGGAAATCGCCACGGTCTAGAGGCGCCTAGCGCCTAGGCGGGGCCTAGGCGGGCGCCTAGACCGATTTTTACAACCCTGTCTATGCCTAGGAATATAAGAAAATCAGCTCTAACACAGTAAAAAATGCAAATAAAAAAGCTCTTGTGTCAATTTATTTTCTTATTACATACTGCAGATGCTAGTTGGTTCATTCTATTCATCTAAAATGTTACTTTGCATTCATATTTAGATGTCAGCAATTCAAAAGAGAAATATAGATACAAGTCAAGGAAGTAGAAATGACAACAAAGATGAAAATCAAGGAGGTAGAGTTAATTGGTTAAAAGAATTACTTTACATACTTTGTGACCTTTGTATTCAATATGTTGAAAAGAGTAAGGGGAAAAAAGGTGAAGTTACCTCTCAAAGGTTGATATGGAAAAAGATTGAATTAGAGTTCAACAACCAAAGTAACTTGGCATGGGATAAAAATAAACTCAAAAATAAGGTGGATTGGATGAGAAATAGATGGAGCTTATGGAAACAATTGAAAGCAAAAGAGACGGGACTAGGATGGGATCATGTGAAATGGACTATAAGTGCTAACGATGAATGGTGGGCTATGAAAATGAAGGTTAGTTATCTTTTAAGTTGACTTACTTTAGTTTTAAATAGTTAGATATATCTATTAAAAATTTTGTGTTTTGTTTTATAGGAAAATTTCAAATTTGATTCATTTCAAGATGAATGGATTGAGCCTGAGCTTGAAAATAAAATGGATCAAATTTTTGGATTTATGCCCAAGAAAAATACAAGTTTAGTCTGGTAGCTAATTCTCCACATAAACAATAAGTATATATTCCTCCCCACCTCATAGGAATGATGAGCATGTTTCTCTTGATGACATGAATCTTAATAATGGTGATGACAATTACTATGGGGGAACATCATGGGATGATGTATGGAGAGAGTCTATTCCTACCCCTACTCCTACATCTACTAATATCACTCAAGTGACACATGTTGAGAGGGATGACATAAGAAGAGGTAAGAGGGCTTTTGAGAGTGATTCATCCATCACAAAGTAATAAGATTGCAAAGACTTCTACTAAAAAAGAAGGGCTGCCACAATCCAACAAATGCTTGGTGACTTGATGCAACAAATTAATGAGAGGAATACTTCAACACAAGAAATGAATACTTCAATGATGAACATGATGAATAGCAACATGAATGTGATAAATTCAATGAATGCTAGTACAACAAAGTATGATGTTGAAGATGCTTTGGCAAAAGTGTGTAGTTTGTCTGGTTTGGAGCCCCATGCCTTCAAGTTCTTCTTTGCTTGCACAATGATTGAAGATCCTAATATATATATATATATATATATATATATATATATATATATATATATATATATATATATATATATATACATATATATATATTTTGGATTGCCGGATGATGAGAGTAGGCTTGGATACATTAAGTACTTGCATGATTATGAGAAGCATCCAAAAAGCTAAACTTGTTTAGCTTTTAATCATGATGGGTGGTGTAGTTTTTTGTGTAGAAAGTTTATGAACATTTAACTTTCTAACTATGTTATGCTAGTATTTTTGCCGTCAAACATATGTAGATGTTTATGATGGGTGGTGTAGCTTTTTTTTGTAAAGAAAGTTTATGAACATTTAACTTTCTAATTATGTTATGCTAGTATTTTTGCCATCAAACATATGTAGATGTTTATGATGGGTGGTGTAGCTTTTTTTGTAAAGAAAGTTTATGAACATTTAACTTTTTAACTATGTTATGCTACTTTTTTGCCATCAAACTTATGAAGATGTTCATGATGGATTGTGTAGCTTTTTTTGTAAAAAAAGTTTATGAATATTTAACTTTTAAACTATGTTATCCTATTAATT